GTAGAGAGGGTTAGCTACCCAGGATAACCCATGGTAGAGAGGGTTAGCTACCCAGATAACCATGGTAGAGAGGGTTAGCTACCCAGGATAACCCATGGTAGAGAGGGTTAGCTACCAGGATAACCCATGGTAGAGAGGGTTATGCTACCCAGGATAACCCATGGTAGAGAGGGTTAGCTACCCAGGATAACCCATGGTAGAGAGGGTTAGCTTACCCAGGATAACCCATGGTAGAGAGGGTTAGCTACCCAGGATAACCCATGTAGAGAGGGTTAGCTACCCAGGATAACCCATGGTAGAGAGGGTTAGCTACCCAGGATAACCCATGGTAGAGAGGGTTAGCTACCCAGGATAACCCATGGTAGAGAGGTTAGCTACCCAGGATAACCCATGGTAGAGAGGGTTAGCTACCCAGGATAACCCATGGTAGAGAGGGTTAGCTACCCAGGATAACCCATGGTTAGAGAGGGTAGCTACCCAGGATAACCCATGGTAGAGAGGGTTAGCTACCCAGGATAACCCATGGTAAGAGGGTTAGCTACCAGGATAACCCATGGTAAGAGAGGGTTAGCTACCAGGATAACCCATGGTAGAGAGGGTAGCTACCCAGGATAAACCCATGGTAGAGAGGGTTAGCTACCCAGGATAACCCAGGTAGAGAGGGTTAGCTACCCAGGATAACCCATGGTAGAGAGGTTAGCTACCCAGGTATAACCCATGGTAGAGAGGGTTAGCTACCCAGGATAACCCATGGTAGAGAGGGTTAGCTACCCAGGATAACCCATGGTAGAGGAGGGTTAGCTACCCAGGATAACCCATGGTAGAGAGGGTTAGCTACCCAGGATAACCCATGGTAGAGAGGGTTAGCTACCCAGGATAACCCATGGTAGAGAGGGTTAGCTACCCAGGATAACCCATGGTAGAGAGGGTTAGCTACCCAGGATAACCCAGGGTAGAGAGGGTTAGCTACCCAGGATAACCCATGGTAGAGAGGGTTAGCTACCCAGGATAACCCAGGGTAGAGAGGGTTAGCTACCCAGGATAACCCATGGTAGAGAGGGTTAGCTACCCAGGATAACCCATGGTAGAGAGGGTTAGCTACCCAGGATAAACCCATGGTAGAGAGGGTTAGCTACCCAGGATAAACCATGGTAGAGAGGGTTAGCTACCCAGGATAACCATGGTAGGAGAGGGTTAGCTACCCAGGATAACCCAGGGTAGAGAGGGTTAGCTACCCAGGATAACCCAGGGTAGAGAGGGTTAGCTACCCAGGATAACTCAGGGTAGAGAGGGTTAGCTACCCAGGATAACTCAGGGTAGAGAGGGTTAGCTACCCAGGATAACTCAGGGTAGAGAGGGTTAGCTACCCAGGATAACTCAGGGTAGAGAGGGTTAGCTACCCAGGATAACTCAGGGTAGAGAGGGTTAGCTACCCAGGATAACTCAGGAGTAGAGAGGGTTAGCTACCCAGGATAACTCAGGGTAGAGAGGGTTATGACTACCCAGGATAACTCAGGGTAGAGAGGGTTAGCTACCCAGGATAACCCATGGTAGAGAGGGTTAGCTACCCAGGATAACTCAGGGTAGAGAGGGTTAGCTACCCAGGATAACTCAGGGTAGAGAGGGTTAGCTACCCAGGATAACTCAGGGTAGAGAGGGTTAGCTACCCAGGATAACTCAGGGTAGAGAGGGTTAGCTACCCAGGATAACTCAAGAAAGTCAGTGTGTCATCTAGGATTGTCTGTCTTGCTTCCATTGTTGTCTTTCAATCTTGTCCCCCAGGATGCCACCCACACTAGTCCACTAACACCCAGGATGCCACCCACACTAGTCCACTAACACCCAGGATGCCACCCACACTAGTCCACTAACACCCAGGATGCCACCCACACTAGTCCACTAACACCCAGGATGCCACCCACACTAGTCCACTAACACCCAGGATGCCACCCACACTAGTCCACTAACACCCAGGATGCCACCCACACTAGTCCACTAACACCCAGGATGCCACCCATCACTAGTCCACTAACACCCAGGATGCCACCCACACTAGTCCACTAATACCCAGGATGCCACCCACACTAGTCCACTAACACCCAGGATGCCACCCACACTAGTCCACTAACACCCAGGATGCCACCCACACTAGTCCACTAACACCCAGGATGCCACCCACACTAGTCCACTAACACCCAGGATGCCACCCACACTAGTCCACTAACACCCAGGATGCCACCCACACTAGTCCACTAACACCCAGATGCCACCCACACTAGTCCACTAACACCCAGGATGCCACCCACACTAGTCCACTAACACCCAGGATGCCACCCACCACTAGTCCACTAACACCCAGGATGCCACCCACACTAGTCCACTAACACCCAGGATGCCACCCACACTAGTCCACTAACACCAGGATGCCACCCACACTAGTCCACTAACACCCAGGATGCCACCCACACTAGTCCACTAACACCCAGGATGCCACCCACACTAGTCCACTAACACCCAGGATGCCACCCCACTAGTCCACTAACACCCAGGATGCCACCCACACTTAGTCCACTAACACCCAGGATGCCACCCACACTAGTCCACTAACCCCAGGATGCCACCCACACTAGTCCACTAACACCCAGGATGCCACCCACACTAGTCCACTAACACCCAGGATGCCACCCACACTAGTCCACTAATACCCAGGATGCCACCCACACTAGTCCACTAACACCCAGGATGCCACCCACACTAGTCCACTAACACCCAGAATGCCACCCACACTAGTCCACTAACACCCAGGATGCCACCCACACTAGTCCACTAACACCCTAGGATGCACCCACACTAGTCCACTAACACCCAGGATGCCACCCCCACTAGTCCACACTAACACCCAGGATGCCACCCACACTAGTCCACTAACACCCAGGATGCCACCCACACTAGTCCACTAACACCCAGGATGCCACCCACACTAGTCCACTAACACCCAGGATGCAACCCACACTAGTCCACTAATCACCGGATGCCACCCACACTAGTCCACTAATACCCAGGATGCCACCCACACTAGTCCACTAATACCCAGGATGCCACCCACACTAGTCCACTAATACCCAGGATGCCACCCACACTAGTCCACTAACACCCAGGATGCCACCCACACTAGTCCACTAACACCCAGGATGCCACCCACACTAGTCCAACTAACACCCAGGATGCCACCCACACTAGTCCACTAACACCCAGGATGCCACCCACACTAGTCCACTAATACCCAGGATGCCACCCACACTAGTCCACTAACACCCAGGATGCCACCCACACTAGTCCACTAATACCCAGGATGCCACCCACACTAGTCCACTAACACCAGGATGCCACCCACACTAGTCCACTAACACACCCAGGATGCCACCCACACTAGTCACTACACCCAGGATGCCACCCACACTAGTCCACTAACACCCAGGATGCCACCCACACTAGTCCACTACACCAGGATGCCACCCACATAGTCCACTAACACCCCCAGGATGCCACCCACACTAGTCCACTAATACCCAGGATGCCACCCACACTAGTCCACTAATACCCAGGATGCCACCCACACTAGTCCACTAATACCCAGGATGCCACCCACACTAGTCCACTAATACCCAGGATGCCACCCACACTAGTCCACTAATACCCAGGATGCCACCCACACTAGTCCACTAATTCCCAGGATGCCACCCACACTAGTCCACTAATACCCAGGATGCCACCCACACTAGTCCACTAATACCCAGGATGCCACCCACACTAGTCCACTAATACCCAGGTACAGTGGACCCCCGGTTAACGATATTTTTTCATTCCAGAAGTATGTTCAGGTATGAGTACTGACCAAATTTGTTCCCATAAGGAATATTGTGAAGTAGATTAGTCCATTTCAGACCCCCAAACATACACGTACAAACGCACTTAAATAAATACACTTACATAATTGGTCGCATTGGGAGGGGTTCGTTAAGCGGGGGTCCACTGTATTTACTTATTGCTAATTGAATAGTGACAGCAGGTGTAAGGTGACTAACACGCAGGTACCTACTTACTGCTAGGTGAAGAGTAACAGCAGGTGTAAGGGAGCATGCCCAGTGTTTCCACCCGTGCAGGGGAGTGAACTCGGACTCGCGGTGAGGCAAGTGCGCTAACCAAAGAGAACGTTTTATTGATATTACGCAAAACATTTTTCAGAGACCTGCATCCTCCCTCCACTCCCTCCACTCCCTCCACTCCCTCCACTCCCTCCACTCCCTTCACTCTCTCCACTCCCTTAAGGTATCTACGCCATCAGGTGAACACTGAGGGAACGAGGGGAGGTGCCAATAAACAGAAGTTCTCTGATTTTCCCCTCTTTTCCCCTCCATAACATCGTCTGGTTTCCCCTCTCACAACCACTTACCATTTCCCCTTCCTTCTTCCCCTCACTCTCCCCTCAGCACACAAACTGTCATTACGAGGCCCCAGAGAACAAACACTGCTGAGACTGATAGCCGTACCTCTTACTGCTGACAGCCTCAGTAGTAGCAGCCCACACCTGCTGACCCCTGCTCACCTAGCAGTAAGTAGGTACTTGCGTGGTAGTCATCTTACACCTGCTGTCACTTTTCACCTAGCAGTAAGTAGGTACTTGGGTGTTAGTCACCTTACACCCGCTGTCACTGTTCACCAAATGTAAGTAGGTACCTGGGTGTTACTCACCTTACACCTACTGTCACTGTTCACCTAGCAGTAAGTAGGTACCTGGGTGTTGGTCACCTTACATAAGGTAAGGTATGATAACAGGTCAAGCACCATATGCAACAGATATCAGGTCCCTAAATGCTGCAACTGACAAAATATCAACGTCAGTTGCCAGGTTCAAACGTCAGCTTCTAGCTTCAAACGTCAGATACAAGCTTCAAAGGTCAGCTTTGAGCTTCAATGTTAAGAAACAAGCTTCAACTCACCTTCAGCTTGAAAAGCTTGTGGTCAACAATCTGGCCAACAATGTTGTGACAGTCTCGTACATAGTGTTCAGGAGCCAGCATGTGCACGTACCAGACCCAGTGTACGTCTGACGGAGGCGCCAGGATCTTCTCTGTGCAGTTAGCAGCCAGAGGCAGCCAGAGTAGCTCATACCTGCAACACCCGTGTTATTGTTAGCAGCCAGAGTAGCTCATACCTGCAACACCCGTGTTATTGTTAGCAGCCAGAGTAGCTCATACCTGCAACACCCGTGTTATTGTTAGCAGCCAGAGTAGCTCATACCTGCAACACCCATGTTATTGTTAGCAGCCAGAGTAGCTCATAACCTGTAACCACCCGTGTTATTGTTAGCAGCCAGAGTAGCTCATACCTGCAACACCCGTGTTATTGTTAGCAGCCAGAGTAGCTCATACCTGCAACACTCGCGTTATTGTTAGCAGCCAGAGTAGCTCATACCTGCAATACCCGCGTTATTGTTAGCAACCAGAGTAGCTCATACCTGCAACACCCGCGTTATTGTTAGCAGCCAGAGTAGCTCATACCTGCAACACTCGCGTTATTGTTAGCAGCCAGAGTAGCTCATACCTGCAACACTCGCGTTATTGTTAGCACCAGAGTACTCATACCTGCAACATCGCGTTATTGTTAGCAGCTCAGTAGCTCATACCTGTCAACACTAGCGTTTATGGTTAGCAGCGAGTAGTCATACCTGCAACACCGGTTATTGTTAGCATGCAGAATAGCTTCTGCAACATCGGCCGTTATTGTTGCAGCCATGATAGCTCATAGCTGCAGTCAGAGGTAACCGTCAGTGTAATAGTAATAGTGGTAATAATAGTAGTAACAGTAGTAGTAGTTGTATTAGTAACAGTAGTAGTAATAATAGTAGTAGTAATAATAGTAGTAGTAATAATAGTATTAGTAAGTAATAGTAGTCAGTAATAATAGTGTAGTTAGATAGTAGCTAGTATCATAATGAGTTAGTAGTACTAAAGAGTAGTATACTAAACCGTTATTGTGAAGAGTATATGAAGGTTAGTATATAGCAGAGTAGTGATAATAAGTATGTTAAGAAGTAGTACTGAAGTTATTGTAGCACAGTAGTAGTATACTGTAATACCTGTAGTAGTTAGAGTGAGTAGTATATGAATATAGTGATAGTTTAATAGTAGTATTAGTGCATCGGTTATTGTGTAATGAGTGTAGTATACTGCAAGTAGCGTAATTTAGAGCTAGTATACTAAACGGTAGTATATATAGCAGCAGAATATATATGAAGTGTATGTTAGCAGAGTAGACTAAATGGGTTATGTAGAAGAGTAGTATAGCTAATAATTAGAGTAGTAGTAATATAGTAGTAATAATTAGTTAGCAGTAATAGTAGTATTGTAACATGTAATAATATTAGAGTAGTAATAATAGTAGTAGTATAATAGTAGTAGTATAGTAGTCAGAGATAAGTAATAGTAAATAGTAGTTAGTAAATAGTAGTAGTAATAATAGTAGTAAGTAAGTAATAGTAGTAGTAATAATAGTAGTAGTAATAATAGTAGCAGTAATAATAGTAGTAATAGTAGTAGTAATAATGGTAGTAGTAATAATAGTAGTAGTAATAATAGTAGTAGTAATAATAGTAGCAGAAATAATAGTAGTAATAGTAGTAGTAATAATAGTAGTAGTAATAATAGTAGTAATAAAAAAAGTAGTAGTAATAATAGTAGTAGTAATAATAGTAGTAGTAATAATAGTAGTAGTAATAATAGTAGTAGTAATAATAGTAGTAGTAATAATAGTAGAGAAATAATAGTAAGTAATAGTAGCAGTAATATTATATAGTAGTAGATAATAGTAGTAGTAATAATAGTAGTAGTAATAATAGTAGTAGTAATAATAGTAGTAGTAATAAATAGTTAAGTAGTAATAATAGTAGTAGTAATAATAGTAGTAGTAATAATAGTAGTAGTAATAATAGTAGTAGTAATAATAGTAGTAGTAGTAATAGTAGTAGTAATAATAGTATTAGTAATAATAGTAGTAGTAATAATCAGTAGTAATATATAGTAGTAGAAATAAAAGTATAGTAATAATAGTAGTAATAATAGTAGTAATAATAGTAATAAGTAAGTAGTAGTAATAGTAAGTAATAATAGTAGTAGTAATAATGTAGAGTAATAATAGTAGTAGTAATAATAGTAGTAGTATAGTAGATAATAGTATAGTAGTGTAATATAGTAGTAGTAGATATAGTAGTAAAAGTAGTAATAATAGTAGTAGTAAATAGTAGTAGTAATAATATTAGTAGTAATAGTAGTAGTAGTAATAATAGTAGTATATGTAGATAAATAGTAGTAGTAATAATAGTAGTAGTAATAATAGTAGCAGTTAATATATAGTATAATAGTAGTAGTAATAATATTAGTAGTAATAGTAGTAGTAGTAGTAATATACGTAGTAAAGTAGAGTAATAATTGTTAGTAGTAATAATAGTAGTGTATATATAATAATAGTAGTAGTAATAATTAGTAGTAATAAGTGTAGTAATAGTAGTAGTAAGTAATAAATAGTAGTAGTAATAATGTAATGTAGTTATAATAATAGTAGTATAATAGTAGTAGTAAATAATATTAGTTATAGTAATAGTAGTAGTAGTAAATAATAATAGTAGTAGTAATAATAGTAGCAGAAATAATAGTAGTAATAGTAGTAGTAATAATAGTAGTAGTAATAATAGTAGTAATAATAATAGTAGTAGTAATAATAATAGTAATAATAATAGTAGTAGTAATAATATAGTAGTAATAATAAAGTAGTAGTATAATATGTAGTAAATTAAATAGTAGCAGAAATAATAGTAGTAGTAATTAGTAGTAGTAATAATATAGTATAATATAGTAGTAATAATAGTAGTAGTAGTAATAGTAGTAGTAATAATAGTATAGTAATAATAGTAGTAGTAATAATAGTAGTAATAATAGTAGTAGAAATAAAGTAATAGTAATAATAGTAGTAGTAATAATAGTAGTAGTAATAATAGTAGTAATAATAGTAGTTAGTAAATATAAGTAGATAGTAATAATAGTAAAATGTAATAATAGTAGTAGTAATAATAGAGATAGTAATAATAGTAGTGGTAATAATTAGTAGTAATAATAGTAGTATAATAATAGTAGTATATATAGAATATAGTAGTAGTAATAATATAGTAGTAATAATAGTAGTAGTAATAATAGTAGTAATAATATAGTGAATAATAATAGTAATATAGTAATAATAGTAGAATAATAGTAGTAGTAATAATAATAGTAAGTAATAATAGAGTAGTAATAATTAGTAGTAATAATAGTAGTAAGTAAATAGAGTTTATAGTAGTATATAGTAGTAATAATAATAGATAGTAGTAATAGTATAGCAAGTAGTAGTAATAGTAAGTATATAGTAGTAATAATAGTAATAATAGTATAATAATAAATAATAATAGAAGTAATAAATTAGTAAGTAATAATATATTAATAAGTAATAATATAATAATAGAGTAATGATAATAGTATAAATAATAATAATAGATAATGATAAATAATAATAATAATAATAATAATAATAATAATAATAATAATAATAATAATAATAATAATAATAATGATAATAATAATAATAATAATAATTAATATAATAATAATTAATAATAATAATAATAATAATAATAATAATAAAAATAATAATAATAATAATAATATAATAATATATAATAATAATAATATAATAATAATAATAATAATAATAATAATAATAATAATAATAAATAATAATAATAATAATAATAATAATAATAATAATAAATAATAATAATAATAATCAAAAATAATAATATATAATAATAATATATAATAATAATAATAATAATAATAATAAATAATAAACAACAATAATAATAATAATAATAATAATAATAATAATAATAATAATAATAATAATAATAATAATAATATATATATAATTAATAATAATAATAATAATAATAATAATAATAATAATAATAATAATAATAATATAATAATAATAATAATAATAATAATAATAATAATATAATAATAATAATAATATAATAATAATAAATAAAATCAATAATAATATAATAATATAAATAATAATAATAATAATATAATAATAAAAATAATAATAATAATAATAAAAATAATAATAATAATAATAATAATAATAATAAAATAATAATAATAATTAATAATAATAATAATAATAAATAATAATAATAATAATAATAATAATAATAATAATAATAATAATAATAATAATAATAATAATAATATAATAATAATAAGCTGCATCAAGTGTACACGACGATAATAATTATTATCATTGCTTCAATTAAGTTTATTTTTATTATTATCATCATGCATATATTAACATTAAAGCGCTGGAAAGCACTAGTTGTGTATGGGTCACACAGCTTCTGGTAGACCGGGAACTAATAAAATTTGATCCGAGGGGAGGGAAGCCTTAATTCCTTGGATCAAGAGCCCGTGGAAGCAGCATCAAGGTAGTAAGAGTCGACTTAAAGGGGAGAGAGGTGGATGGTATTTGCTCCAGTGTTGAACGACACTCTTAAAGCTGCAGGTACCAGAGAGTCTGTCAGCCTGGCAGTTAGGTAGGTACCAGAGAGTCTGTCAGCCTGGCAGTTAGGTAGGTACCAGAGAGTCTGTCAGCCTGGCAGTTAGGTAGGTACCAGAGAGTCTGTCAGCCTGGTAGTTAGGTAGGTACCAGAGAGTCTGTCAGCCTGGCAGTTAGGTAGGTACCAGGGAGTCTGTCAGCCTGGCAGTTAGGCAGGTACCAGAGAGTCTGTCAGCCTGGCAGTTAGGTAGGTACCAAAGAGTCTGTCAGCCTGGCAGTTAGGCAGGTACCAGAGAGTCTGTCAGCCTGGCAGTTAGGTAGGTACCAAAGAGTCTGTCAGCCTGGCAGTTAGGCAGGTACCAGGGAGTCTGTCAGCCTGGCAGTTAGGTAGGTACCAGAGAGTCTGTCAGCCTGGCAGTTAGGTAGGTACCAGAGAGTCTGTCAGCCTGGCAGTTAGGTAGGTACCAGAGAGTCTGTCAGCCTGGCAGTTAGGTAGGTACCAGAGAGTCTGTCAGCCTGGCAGTTAGGTAGGTACCAGAGAGTCTGTCAGCCTGGCAGTTAGGTAGGTACCAGAGAGTCTGTCAGCCTGGCAGTTAGGTAGGTACCAGAGAGTCTTTCAGCCTGGCAGTTAGGTAGGTACCAGAGAGTCTGTCAGCCTGGCAGTTAGGCAGGTACCAGAGAGTCTGTCAGCCTGGCAGTTAGGTAGGTACCAGAGAGTCTGTCAGCCTGGCAGTTAGGTAGGTACCAGAGAGTCTGTCAGCCTGGCAGTTAGGTAGGTACCAGAGAGTCTGTCAGCCTGGCAGTTAGGTAGGTAACAGGGAGTCTGTCAGCCTGGCAGTTAGGCAGGTACCAGAGAGTCTGTCAGCCTGGCAGTTAGGCAGGTACCAGAGAGTCTGTCAGCCTGGCAGTTAGGTAGGTACCAGAGAGTCTGTCAGCCTGGCAGTTAGGTAGGTACCAGAGAGTCTGTCAGCCTGGCAGTTAGGTAGGTACCAGAGAGTCTGTCAGCCTGGCAGTTAGGTAGGTACCAGGGAGTCTGTCAGCCTGGCAGTTAGGTAGGTACCAGAGAGTCTGTCAGCCTGGCAGTTAGGTAGGTACCAGAGAGTCTGTCAGCCTGGCAGTTAGGTAGGTACCAGGGAGTCTGTCAGCCTGGCAGTTAGGCAGGTACCAGAGAGTCTGTCAGCCTGGCAGTTAGGTAGGTACCAAAGAGTCTGTCAGCCTGGCAGTTAGGCAGGTACCAGAGAGTCTGTCAGCCTGGCAGTTAGGTAGGTACCAAAGAGTCTGTCAGCCTGGCAGTTAGGCAGGTACCAGGGAGTCTGTCAGCCTGGCAGTTAGGTAGGTACCAGAGAGTCTGTCAGCCTGGCAGTTAGGTAGGTACCAGAGAGTCTGTCAGCCTGGCAGTTAGGTAGGTACCAGAGAGTCTGTCAGCCTGGCAGTTAGGTAGGTACCAGAGAGTCTGTCAGCCTGGCAGTTAGGTAGGTACCAGAGAGTCTGTCAGCCTGGCAGTTAGGTAGGTACCAGAGAGTCTTTCAGCCTGGCAGTTAGGTAGGTACCAGAGAGTCTGTCAGCCTGGCAGTTAGGTAGGTACCAGAGAGTCTGTTTTCTGGCAGTTAGGTAGGTACCAGAGAGTCTGTCAGCCTTGCAGTTAGGTAGGTACCAGAGAGTCTGTCAGCCTGGCAGTTAGGTAGGTACCAGAGAATCTGTCAGCCTGGCAGTTAGGTAGGTACCAGAGAGTCTGTCAGCCTGGCAGTTAGGTAGGTACCAAAGAGTCTGTCAGCCTGGCAGTTAGGCAGGTACCAGGGAGTCTGTCAGCCTGGCAGTTAGGTAGGTACCAGAGAGTCTGTCAGCCTGGCAGTTAGGTAGGTACCAGAGAGTCTGTCAGCCTGGCAGTTAGGTAGGTACCAGAGAGTCTGTCAGCCTGGCAGTTAGGTAGGTACCAGAGAGTCTGTCAGCCTGGCAGTTAGGTAGGTACCAGAGAGTCTGTCAGCCTGGCAGTTAGGTAGGTACCAGAGAGTCTTTCAGCCTGGCAGTTAGGTAGGTACCAGAGAGTCTGTCAGCCTGGCAGTTAGGTAGGTACCAGAGAGTCTGTCAGCCTGGCAGTTAGGTAGGTACCAGAGAGTCTGTCAGCCTTGCAGTTAGGTAGGTACCAGAGAGTCTGTCAGCCTGGCAGTTAGGTAGGTACCAGAGAATCTGTCAGCCTGGCAGTTAGGTAGGTACCAGAGAGTCTGTCAGCCTGGCAGTTAGGTAGGTACCAGAGAGTCTGTCAGCCTGGCAGTTAGGTAGGTACCAGAGTGTCTGTCAGCCTGGCAGTTAGGTAGGTACCAGAGAGTCTGTCAGCCTGGCAGTTAGGTAGGTACCAGGGAGTCTGTCAGCCTGGCAGTTAAACAGGTGCCAGAGAGTCTGTCAGCCTGGCAGTTAGGTAGGTACCAGAGAGTCTGTCAGCCTGGCAGTTAGGGAATTACCAGAGAGTCTGTCAGCTTGGCAGTTAGGGAATTACCAGAGAGTCTGTCAGCCTGGCAGTTAGATAGGTACCAGGAAGTCTGTCAGCCTGGCAGTTAGGCAGGTACCAGGGAGTCTGTCAGCCTGGCAGTTAAACAGGTACCAGAGAGTCTGTCAGCCTGGCAGTTAGGCAGGTACCAGAGAGTCTGTCAGCCTGGCAGTTAGGCAGGTACCAGAGAGTCTGTCGGCCTGGCAGTTAGGTAGGTACCAGAGAGTCTGTCAGCCTGGCAGTTAGGTAGGTACCAGAGAGTCTGTCAGCCTGGCAGTTAGATAGGTACCAGGAAGTCTGTCAGCCTGGCAGTTAGGCAGGTACCAGGGAGTCTGTCAGCCTGGCAGTTAGACAGGTACCAGAGAGTCTGTCAGCCCGGCAGTTAGGTAGGTACCAGAGAGTCTGTCAGCCTGGCAGTTAGGCAGGTACCAGAGAGTCTGTCAGCCTGGCAGTTAGACAGGTACCAGAGAGTCTGTCAGCCTAACAGTTAGACAGGGACCAGAGAGTCTGTCAGCCTGGCAGTTAGGTAGGTACCAGGGAGTCTGTCAGCCTGGCAGTTAGGCAAGTACCAGAGAGTCTGTCAGCCTGGCAGTTAGGTAGGTACCAGAGAATCTGTCAACCTGGCAGTTAGGAAATTACCAGAGAGTCTGTCAGCCTGGCAGTTAGGTAGGTACCAGGGAGTCTGTCAGCCTGGCAGTTAAGCAGGTACCAGAGAGTCTGTCAGCCTGGCAGTTAGGTAGGTACCAGAGAGTCTTTCAGCCTGGAAGTTAGGTAGGTACCAGAGAGTCTATCAGCCTGGCAGTTAGGTAGGTACCAGGGAGTCTGTCAGCCTGGCAGTTAGGCAGGTACCAGAGAGTCTGTCAGCCTGGCAGTTAGGGAAGTAGCTGCCAGGAACATAGATGAGCAGACACTGGGGGTATAAGGCCAAGTAGGCAGGTATTTAGGGTACAAGGCCAGGTAGACAGGTATTTAGGGTACAAGGCCAGGTAGACAGGTATTTAGGGTACAAGGCCAGGTAGACAGGTATTTAGGGTACAAGGCCAGGTAGACAGGTATTTAGGGTACAAGGCCAGGTAGAAAGATATTTTGGGTACAAGGCCAAGTAGGCAGGTATTTAGAGTACAAGGCCAGGTAGACAGTTATTTAGGGTACAAGGCCAGGTAGACAGGTATCTAGGGTACAAGACCAGGTAGACAGGTATTTAGGGTACAAGGCCAGATAAACAGGTATTTAGGGTACAAAGCCAGTTAGACAGGTATTTAGGGTACAAGGCCAGGTAGACAGGTATTTAGGGTACAAGACCAAGTAGGCAGGTATTTAGGGTACAAGGCCAGGTAGGCAGGTATTTAGGGTACAAGGCCAAGTAGGCAGGTATTTAGAGTACAAGGCCAGGTAGAGAGGTATTTAGGGTACAAGGCCAGGTACACAGGTATTTAGGGTACAAGGCCAAGTAGGCAGGTATTTAGGGTACAAGGCCAAGTAATCAGGTATTTAGGCTACAAGACCAGGTAGAGAGGTATTTAGGGGTAGTAAGCCAGGTAGGCAGGTATTTAGGGTACAAGGCCAGGTAGACAGGTATTTAAGGGTAGTAAGCCAGGTAGGCAGGTATTTAGGGTACAAGGCCAGGTAGGCAGGCATTTAGGGAAGAAAGTGCCAGGAAGGTAGTTAGGCACTCTCAGGTGTTTACCTCTGGATGGCACTATTACAGTGCCTAGTGTGGTAGACAGGTGAATTTGAGAGTGAAAGACACTAGCGGGACTTACCTCTGGATGGCACTCTTGACGAGAGTTCCATGGTAGAGTGCCGGGTGCCTGTTGACAAAGTACAGGAACTGTAGTTCTCTCTGCGCTGCTCTAATCAAGTTCAAACTGAACTGAACCTGACTGGCACCTTTCACTCTGGACTTGTAGTTTGGCACTCTTCCTCCTCCTCCTCCTCCTCCTCCTCCTCCTCCTCCTCCTCTTTCTCCACCTCCTCCTCCACTTCCTCCTCCTCTCTCTCCAGCACCTCCTCCTCTTTCTCCTGCACTACTTCCACCTCCAGCTCCGTTAACCACAGCTCCTCCTGCACCTCCACTGCTGTTTCCTCCTCCTCCTCCTCCTGCTCCTCCTCCTCCTCCCCCTCCTCCTCCTCCTCCAGTGCTGGTGCCGCCTACTCCAGGGCCTTCACTTCCTCCTCCTCCTCCTCCTCCTCCTCCTTCGGTTGCGTTTTCACCCACCACGGCTGCAAAGAGAGAAAAAAGCAATGAGAATCTCAAACAAAACACTTCAACACAAGCTAACATATTCGCACTACAGGACAAACTTTTATGGCGGGGAGGGCGTCAACGTTTCACTCAGTGTAGAGCCCCACCATAACATTACGAAGCTCTATATAGAACGAAACATTGTTCCGTGTTGCATGCTGTATTGTATCACCCCAAGTGTCACCAGTACGACGTCTGACCTAACTTGATCAGTAACCTCATTATCTCTCTTGAGAAAATGTACGTTATCATCGTCTTAGACGAAACACGTTGTGTAGCTGAGAGAAAGTATATGAATGAAGGATAATGGTAGGAGACAAGTAAGACTGACAAGTACAGCAAGCTGTCAGGTAAGTGTAAGTCTGAAAGGGACAGGAAGCTGTTAGGTAAGTGAAAGTCTGAAAGGGACAGGAAGCTGTCAGGTAAGTGTAAGTCTGAAAGGAACAGGAAGCTGTCAGGTAAGTGTAAGTCTGAAAGGGACAGGAGGCTGTCACGTAAGTGTAAGTCTGAAAGGGACAGGAAGCTGTCAGGTAAGTGTAAGTCTGAAAGGGACAGGAAGCTGTTAGGTAAGTGTAAGTCTGAAAGGAACAGGAAGCTGTCAGGTAAGTGTAAGTCTGAAAGGGACAGGAAGCTGTTAGGTAAGTGTAAGTCTGAAAAGAACAGGAAGCTGTCAGGTAAGTGTAAGTCTGAAAGGGACAGGAAGCTGTTAGGTAAGTGTAAGTCTGAAAGGAACAGGAAGCTGTCAGGTAAGTGTAAGTCTGAAAGGGACAGAAAGCTGTCAGGTAACTGTAAGTCTGAAAGGAACAGGAAGCTGTCAGGTAAGTGTAAGTCTGAAAGGGACAGGAAGCTGTTAGGTAAGTGTAATTCTGAAAGGAACAGGAAGCTGTCAGGTAAGTGTAAGTCTGAAAGGAACAGGAAGCTGTCAGGTAAGTGTAAGTCTGAAAGGGACAGGAAGCTGTCAGGTAAGTGTAAGTCTGAAAGGGACAGGAAGCTGTCAGGTAAGTGTAAGTCTGAAAGGGACAGGAAGCTGTTAGGTAAGTGTAAGTCTGAAAAGAACAGGAAGCTGTCATGTAAGTGTAAGTCTGAAAGGGACAGGAAGCTGTTAGGTAAGTGTAAGTCTGAAAGGGACAGGAAGCTGTCAGGTAAGTGTAAGTCTGAAAGGGACAGGAAGCTGTCAGGTAAGTGTAAGTCTGAAAGGAACAGGAAGCTGTCAGGTAAGTGTAAGTCTGAAAGGGACAGGAAGCTGTTAGGTAAGTGTAAGTCTGAAAGGAACAGGAAGCTGTCAGGTAAGTGTAAGTCTGAAAGGGACAGGAAGCTGTCAGGTAAGTGTAAGTCTGAAAGGAACAGGAAGCTGTCAGGTAAGTGTAAGTCTGAAAAGGACAGGAAGCCGTCAGGTAAGTGTAAGTCTGAAAGGGACAGGAAGCTGTCAGGTAAGTGTAAGTCTGAAAGGAACAGGAAGCTGTCAGGTAAGTGAAAGTCTGAAAGGGACAAGAAGCTGTCAGGTAAGTGTAAGTCTGAAAGGGACAGGAAGCTGTCAGGTAAGTGTAAGTCTGAAAGGAACAGGAAGCTGTCAGGTAAGTGTAAGTCTGAAAGGGACAGGAAGCTGTCAGGTAAGTGTAAGTCTGAAAGGAACAGGAAGCTGTCAGGTAAGTGTAAGACTGACAAGTACAGGAACCTGTCAGGTAAGTGTAAGTCTGAAAGGGACAGGAAGCTGTCAGATAAGTGTAAGACTGACAGGTACAGGAAGCTGTCAGGTAAGTGTAAGTCTGACAGGTACAGGAAGCTGTCAGGTAAGTGTAAGACTGACAGGTACAGGAAGTTGTCAGGTAAGTGTAAGTCTGACAGGTACAGGAAGTTGTCAGGTAAGTGTAAGACTGACAGGTACAGGAAGCTGTCAGGTAAGTGTAAGTCTGACAGGTACAGGAAGCTGTCAGGTAAGTGTAAGACTGACATACACAGGAAGTTGTCAGGTAAGTGTAAGACTGACAGGTACAGGAAGTTGTCAGGTAAGTGTAAGACTGACAGGTACAGGAAGCTGTCAGGTAAGTGTAAGACTGACAGGTACAGGAAGTTGTCAGGTAAGTGTAAGACTGACAGGTACAGGAAGCTGTCAGGTAAGTGTAAGACTGACAGGTACAGGAAGCTGTCAGGTAAGTGTAAGACTGACAGGTACAGGAAGCTGTCAGGTAAGTGTAAGACTGACATGTACAGGAAGCTGTCAGGTAAGTGTAAGACTGACAGGTACAGGAAGGAGGCAAAGAAAGTATCTCAGTAGTGAAGGAATGCAACTGTCAAACGAGAAATGGAAGAGAGGATTGTGTACGTCCCGTGGACAATGAAGAAGAGGATAGAAGAGGTTCCGTGGACAATGAAGAAGAGGCGAGGAGGGAAGCTGAAGGGGAACACCTGAAATTGAAGTAGAAGACCGAGAGTCAGATGGACCCTGAAGAAAACCATCTCCATCAACTCTCACACACACACGAAGAAGAGGAAGAAGAGTGACTGAAGGGAGAAGATAAGAATCGACACCAGCAAATGGAGTCGTCAGCAAGCTACCGGCTTGACGAAGATGGCTTATGGCTTGGGGTCCTCCTCACGCCCTCCTCCGACAAGAGACTCTTAGCGTTCTTCAGGAAACCCCCAACACAAACGGGAATAACAAACATGGCCACCCTAGCAACACAAACATGTCCGCCCTAGCAACACAGACAACGAGGGATATGTTGTCAAGATACACAAATAACCCGCACATAAAAGACAGAAGCTTACGACGACGTTTCGGTCCGACTTGGACCATTGACAAAGTCACACTGTGACTTTGTCAATGGTCCAAGTCGGACCGAAACGTCGTCGTAAGCTTCTGTCTTTTATGTGCGGGTTATTTGTGTATCGTTCCAGTCACGGTATTGTGCCTTTTTGTTATTTATGTTGTCAAGAGTTTAGAAAGCCAACGTTTATTGGAATATTTATTGCGGAAGCGTTTCGCAGCCCCTGGCTTCTTCAGTCCTCCTTTTTATTGGGCTGGCGAAACATTTCCTACATTAAAAATTCCCGAAACGTTGCACAAACATCTCGTTCTTCAACGAGTATGTACAAGCTAGTCGAAACGTCGTATTTATGACGAGTCCAGAGCCCCAGACAAGTTAATTAACAAGCTTTCATAGGCACAACGTTTCGCTCTGTGAAGAGCTTCCTCATAACTAAATAAAGCTCTACGCAGAGAGAAAGTCATGTCGATAAAAGTTCTCTGTAAAGCCCAGTTTCTCCTTGAAATAAACATTTCGCCGAAAGAGAAATCTACACGCTTCTGACAATGTTTCACTCGCTGAGTGAAACGCAGGCGCTTAGCCACGCTGCTGGGAAGCAGGCAAGAGCTTCGCTGTCAGTCAAGAGGTGACCTGCTAAACAGAATTTGCCTGTCGTCAAATGAGAATGACATTTCCTGTGCGTTGTCCAAGACTCCTACGACGTTTCACCTCTCCTAGACCATTATCAACTGAGAATAGGACGGCTCGAAGTTTACGGTCCGAAGTGTGATAATGGTTCAAGATTGGAGCGAAACATCGCGTAAATTTGTGGAATATTTGTAAGGTAAAGGGGACCTCTGTCTCTCAGCACACACTCCATCTCATAGAGACCTTTGGCCAAGTGCTTATCTCTCCCCTTCGTGTCTATCTCTCTCTATATATTTCACTGGCACTATTTCATTTATCTCTCAGTTTCTGGAACAGAGAGATACCACACGTTGCTGGATATCTCTCTCTCTCTCTCTCTCTCTCTCTCTCTCTCTCTCTCTCTCTCTCTCTCTCTCTCTCTCTCTCTCTCTCTCTCTCTCTCTCTCTCTCTCTCTCTCTCTCTCTCTCTCTCTCTCTCTCTCTCTCTCTCTCTCTCTTCTCTCTCTCTCTCTTCTCTCTCTCTCTCTCTCTCTCTCCTCTCCTCTCTCTCTCTCTCTCTCTCTCTCTCTCTCTCTCTCTCTCTCTCTCTCTCTCTCTATTTCTGTCTCTGTCTCTGTCTCTGTCTAGCAATTATCTCCCTTGTCTCGCCTGCACGTCTGATCTCCAAGCTATAGTTCAGAGGTGCGTCACTGCATCAAGCACACCTACCATCAGCGCTCTGCAACAACGGTGTTGCATGTGCAGTTTCAGGCCAGAAAGACGTGCAAACGTTTCTTTCTGGTGTATGTTGCAACATTTTATGTTGACCAGGAAAGTGTGGACCATGGCCCAAGACCACTCAGAAGGTGGACCCAGGACCACTCAGAAGGTGGACCCAGGACCACTCAGAAGGTGGACCCAGGACACTCAGAAGGTGGACCCAGGACCACTCAGAAGGTGGACCCAGGACACTCAGAAGGTGGACCCAGAACCACTCAGAAGGTGGACCCAGGACCACTCAGAAGGTGGACCCAGGACCACTCAGACTGTGTCAGTAGCTGTCTGGGTCTTCAGGACAATATGCTCACTATAAGTCTATCATTCTACGCTACCGAGTGAGCTGAAGCTGTTTGATAGGTCAGAAACATAAATTAGAGTGAACAGTGAGGTATAGTGTATGGTGAGGGAGGACAGGGGCAGAATGTTGCCTGATACACTCACTACCTCACTCAGACGCTCGCTAAACCCATGTGGACAGTTATGTACATTCACTAGATGGGGCCATCTGACTTCAACAGATTCCTTGTGGTTGATCAGTTACTATACCAGGACGATCAGGTAATGAGGCAATCCCGTCAATAGTAGTAGTAGTTGTTGTTGTAGTAGACGGTTGCGATAGTCACAGAACTGATGGCAGGCAGAAGTAGTCACTGGTACACACAGCTCTGTGAGTGGCAGTGGAATGACACCAGTGGCGGATAGGGACAGAAACTTCTGCTTTACTGTCATGTCCCACTGTCAGGCCTGTCTGGTGCTTGCATGGCCATTGGTCAACCAGGCTGCTGCTGCTGGTGGCCCGCTGTCCCACATATCCATCACATTATTATTATTATTAAAATCAAGGGGGAAGCGCTAAACCCGGAGGATTATACAGCGCCTGGGGGGGATGTGGAAGGCATTCAGGCTTAATTCGGGGAACTGGAGCACAGATCCAACTCCTTAAATCAAGAGCCCCTCACCAACATCAAGGAACCTTCCTTGAGGGGACATATCCATCACAGCCTG